ACCCTCAGTTTTCCTCCAAGGGCCATGCTTCTGGCAAAGGCACTGCTTTCTCTGCTGTTATGCTGGGACGAGGTGCAAGGCATACCTACTGTCCGGTGAGCCAGGAGCTGAGCCTGGCTCCCGTCCACCTTGCGAAATCTGTGCCAAGGAAGGAATAGTTTGAGCGCATCAAGTTTTATGAGTCTAAAAAAAAAAATCTAAGGAGTGTTTATTTATGTTTGTGAGTGCCACCAACAGGCACCGTGTCTATTGGATGTTTGCCTCTCTGCTGGGGGAGTGTATTGATAAAACTCCAGGGTCTGGTGAGGACAGGACATGCCTTGTGGTGTACAAACCTCAGCACCCTGGGGCACGGCAATGGGTCCCAGCTCACCCCACAGCTCCCCAGGCTGCTGCAAGGCAGCCCCGGGCTCCAGCTGGGTCTGCAGAGGGAGCAGGGATAGAGACGGGGTTTTATTTGTTTGGGAAGCACTCAAACACCATGGAGATGAAGGCCACAGAAGCACCTAGGTAAATAGAAAAGACTTTGCTAACAGCAAGCAGCAATGCCTGATGAGTCATTCTGCTGCCCCGCAGTGTTGTTATCACTTTTACGTTGTGCAATCAAAGGCTATGAAGTTGGCAATAAAAGTAATGAGCGATGAGATGAATCAATCTCTGCCTGGTTACACCGAGGACTGCTGTTCTTTATAGACGCCCAGCAAAATGTAGGGGGCTGCTTTCAAAGCCAAATTCCCGATTACCAAATTTCTTGGAGCTGCGAGGGGCGAGGCTCAAATCTCGACTGGGATGCCTCAGCATGGACGTCGCCTTAATTAAAACGGTATCCACTATTTACCTAAATAATCTCTCCTCCTGTTCCTTCATGACAGCGTGCCTAAGGGTTGGTGAATCACAGGAAGAGACCACCTAATTCATTCACCGCTGTGGTATGTAGAGCCTGAAAGTGCTGTAGGCTACCAGCTCCTCACCTCCACATAATGAGCTGTAACTCAATATATATAAGCAGCCATAGGGGATGTTCTTCACTTATCTGGCTCTTAAAATACAAGATGCAAGGTAGGCATTAAAGGATAAAACCTCTAGATAAAATGGGGTGCCTCTTCCTCCACCTTTTCACCATTTTAAGTGCTGACCCCACCATGAACTCCGTTTCAGTGCGGAAGAGTCTCTGCCCATATCCACTTGTCTTTGCATGTTGGGGTTTTGGATGGGATTCATGATGAAAGAGCCCGTTTCTGTCAAAGAAGCTCTGCTTCCTGCATATTTCTGGTTCTTACTGAGAGTTTTCTTTTCCTGTGGGATTTCTTGAGCTGTGCTTCAAATTCAGGTATTCAGCTTCGTTCCAGGTAAACATGCCGGCAGTGGGAACAGAATTCAGCTTCACGCTTTTGGAGATTCAGCAGCTATTTATCGTAATAAATGTCATTTTCAGTAAAGGGAATCCAAACCCAAATTTCTGGGTCCAAACTCTGGAAATTTTCATTTGTATCCAGCCCTTGTGCTGGCTGGCTCTCACTGCCATGGCACTTGGAGAAGCTCAGCTTTGAATCCAGGCACGAGGTCTGTGGTTTGGGCCCATCCTACGTTATTAGTCATGTCCTCAACGCATCTCTGCTCCTATGTAGTCACTCCCACTTGGAGCACAGATTTCACATATCGGTCTCCATCTCTTATCCCAATTTATACTGACTCTACCCTGGCAAGGGCTCCAACCTAAATTACTTCCCAACATACGTATTTGTTCATGTCCCTTTGAGCAGCTCTCTTCTAAATAGCCTGTCCTCTTCCCCAAGAGCCATCTCCAGCTGTTCCCTTCAGGGCAGCTCTGCATGTGCACAAGAACAGGGTGGGCTTCAGCTCCTTTTCTCTACCTCAGGTCACTCCATCTTTACAGATGGAGACTTTCTTCTCTCTCTATCCAGCCAGCCAGGGTTACACTCTTGGATTCCTTTTAATCCACGCTTTCTTAGCTCACCTACATGAGGATTCTCCATGTGCTGCTCCACAACTCTGTACACGAGCGCGCTTCTTTCTTCCCCCATACCCACAGTTCCCCTAAGTGCCAGCAGTCGGCTGGGGAGTGGGGTGGGGAGCAGGGTTTTCCATTTCTTGATCTGTCTTTTCGAATTGAAAAATATATGAGAAATATTTAGCCAGCCGCAGAAGAACTCTCTGCAGACTGGTGGAATTACAGATTGGATATGAAATGAATCTCGGTTCGTGAAGGAAAGGTTTTATGTGTCCAGTAAAAAACACAGACGTTCCTCCAGCAAAGCTCGGTATCACTGGATTCTTTATCAGCAGATAGAAAACACATGTGCCTTTCTATTGGCAGGAAGTCATAAGATCCAGTATTTTTGTCTCTAGTAGCTGAAAGAGCAGCACTTCTTTGTGTTTACGGCCCCCTAACGCAACCTATAACTGGCTGCAGGACCCCAAGCCAGGCAGTGGGAGCGGGGAGGTCACCGCGTACCGCAGGGCACTGAATGCATCCTTTCAGAAGCTGGAAGGACCAGAAGATGCTTTAGCAAAATCTGTCTTGACTTCGTGGAATTTGGTGGAATAGCCGTGAAGTCTTTTACTATTATTATTATTTTATTTTGATGCTTGCTAACCGTTTCTTTTTCTCTTTGGCTTAATTTAAAATCAAGAATAAAGCACAAAAAAAAAAAAAAAAAAAAAAAAAAACTCCCAGAAAGAGGCCTTTTAAGATAATGGGAGATGATTGCAGCAGGGAAGTCAATTCAGAAAGGTTGTCTTTAACCTCAGACAAAATTAACTGCACAAGGGAGACTCTGTGGTTCGGAGCATGGGCAGCTGAACTTTTTACCTTTCATTTGGCCATACCAGTCACTAGTGAAAGTTACTGGAGCTCATTTTATCTACCTTTGGCTATTTAAAATTAGCTGTCTAGCCTATGATTTCTAAGGCTTTTGGGCTTCCACTTCAGGCGATGGAGAGAGAAGGACATCTTGAAAGGACAAATCAGCCTAGAAGTCTCAGAGCCTACCTAAACTGCTTTCTGGAGGTAACCACAAATTGTCTATAGAGGAACCCAAAATTACTAGTTTAGCCTTGATCTCTAGCTTTCAGTTGGCTTAAATTTAGCGTAATAAATTTTATTCAAATTGTCCAGACCTGTAGTGACCAAAAGCCTCTGCCTCCTATGGCTGTTCTGGTAGCTTTGAACTGGCAAGTGCTGCAGTGGATCCCATCGCAAAGGTACGTCTTTGATGCTGGTCCTAGCTGGGCTGCAGGGACACTGAAATAACTCTTTTTCTGTGAATGGGGTCCTGATGTGCTGGGGCTGAGGCACAGGCTGGAGCACTGGAGCACCTTCCTGCCCTACCATCATGATTCAGCAGATGTTGGATGCTGATGCTACCTTAGATGCTGTAAATCCATGTCTTCAGACACACTTCTTAAAAAATCAGCAAACCTCTCTAGCTCTCTAAGAAGCTATCTAACAAGAAAGCAGAATACTAAAATAAAAATAAAAATATACAGAAAGACAGAAAATATAGAAAGATACATAGAGAGGACAGGGTTGTGTGTTCCCTTGGGTCCTTCCATAGCTCTGCTACTGACAACACAGACATGGCTCACATGCTTGCTGGGGACAGTCCCCTCATCCCCATAGTGGGATCTCAGACAATTTCTCACTTGCTAATATAAAAATCTCCCCAGTGGCTCCTGCAAGATGGAAATGCAAATGGAAATGGGACATAAAGTCATGATGTGTGCTGTGTTTCATTCCCGGGCTCTGGGACCCCAATTGTGCACACCACACGGCTGTCCCTTCACCCTCTGCTTCCCACGGGGACCAAACCGCTGGCTCTGTCCCCATGAGCACACTCAGAGGACAGCTTGGACCAGGAGCGTGGGTGCACACCGGTCACACCAACCCATGGATGGTGAGGGTTACTTCCCCAGCCCGGACAGCCGATGGGGAGACACCACCACACCACAACCCCTCGGCTGTGTATTCACCGTTGCGTGGCGTGGGCTGAAGGCGAGCCGTGTCGCTGGCCAAAAAGCCTTTGGCAGCCAACGTGCACAGGCTCGGGCATCTCTCAGGCTGCTCGTTGTGCGCCTTCGCAGCTGCCCTTCCCTGGCACAGGGCCCGCGCCCTCCTCAAATAAACAGCTTTGTAAAGAGCTGGAGCAGCAGCAGCAGAACGCAGCGTCGAGGGAAGCAGCAAGTAGCAACAGAGGCTGCAGAGAGACGAAGCCGCTAACCACCATAAGCAGATAAAAGGAGATGTTTTCTTCATCGTGTCAACTGTGTAAATAGCCCCATTGTCACTGGGGTATTATTTGTGTAATCCCTTGGAGTGAACACTGTTTCAAATCTGCTTGTTTTCACATGCAGCCACACTTCCTGCTGCTGCTCTCGGCGCTGCAGTGCGCAGACCTGCCAACAGCCCCATTTCAGGAGGGATAAGTCCTCCCAAACCATTTTTTTCCTCCTCCTGTTCGGTCCCAGCCAGGCAGGAGTGGGTTATCTGCAAAGACACGGCCAGCTCAGCCGCTCTCCTGCAGTGCCGTGCCGCAAAGACGGGCTGGCAGGACCCAGCTCCTTGGGGACGTGTTGCAGGGAGGTCCCTGTCCCCTGGCAGCCTGGAAGCTGTCACCTTACTATCTCTTACTGCATCCCTCCCACAGAAAGGGGAATCCCACCCGTGATGGATCTGGTCCTTGTAACATGTCTACCCCATTCCACGGGGATCAGCACTGGGGAGCAGGGGAGATCCTTAATGCTGAGCTCTAATTTTGCAGCAGAAATTGCCCTCTTAGTGGCAGAGGCACAAATCTGAATGGCAACCACCGACTCAAACACCAAAGCCAATATGATGTCAATAAAAAAAGACAGAAAAACATTGCTAAGATACGAAGGTATATGCAGATCCTAAATATCTGCATCAGTACTTGACCCATTAAATTTACATGAGGATAACAGGCTTTGTCTGTCCATCCTCAGGCTGGGGGACAGCAGAGATCACCTGCTGCAAGGAGAGGTGGGATTTACAGGCTGCATGACAGGGACTTACGGATTTATAGGGTGGCCTTAGGAGCACCTGGGGCTTCTGTCCCCTCCCAGACCACCCCAGCAGGACACAACCCTGGCCCCGTGTTGGCACGGGGGCTCTGGCAGCGACACATGCCCCAGGTCTGGGAAACCACAATGGGTGCACGGCCACTCCCCATGTGCCCTGCCTGGGTCACCCACCTCCACCGAGGGCTGGGAATGGCCTGAGGGTGTTGTCATTATGGCTAGCTTCTGGGGCACTCTTTAAGACAGATATTTTCCTGGTAGCATTTTCGGGGAAGCGTGTGTGCTCTGCAATACCCCAAATGACGCTGCGTGTACTAGTTGGCATCCCAGTCCCAAAGGAGGCATCTTTCCTGCCATGTCTGAGGGACCTCAGAAGGGGTTCCTAATTGGATCCATGCATGCTCTCCCCCAAGGCACTCTGACACTCTTCAAACCCATTCACTCGCCTCGTGGATCATTAAAACCCTTTGCTACTGACAGTGCTACTCCCAGAAGGTTTCTTTGATGTCTGTTTGGATATAAGTCCTAAATTATTTTATAAATAAACATCTGGATGGAATTAAAAATAAATCTCATAAAAATAAATCCTGTTTGCAGACACAAAACTGCTTTTGAGCAAAATTTTACAGTTTTCTCCCCCACAAAACCAGAGGTGGAAAAAACCCCCTTCGCTAGTCTCTGTTTTCCATTTAGCGCTCAGCTACGGGCTCAGAAGTGTCAGGTTCGTCCTTCGTGCAGACATGTCGAGAAGGCTTACTGCTATGTGCCGCGGCACGACTGCTCCGAGCAACAAACCCAAGCCCTTTTCCCCATCTCAGCCACAGAGAGCAACCCGGGATGCTTGTGTGAGCTGGAGACGGGCTCCTGAGCCTTTCCCCTTTTGCAGCAGCAGCAGCATTCAGCTGGAGGCGTGGAGCAGGCGAGACCCCTGCCACCCCACGCAGAGTGCAGGAGTCACGCACTTGGCTCCCTGAGCACCGTCTCTCGTAGAGGAGGTCGTCCCATCCTTTTGCAGTGCATTGCTGGAGCCTTTCTCTTGCTCTGCGAGTCCCCGTGCTCCGCAGCTGGTTGGCAGATCCGCCACAGACAAGCAGCTTCTGGCGCGTGGTCTTTCAGAGTGGAAGAAAGTGGCCAGAGGGACGATATCCTTCAAGGGGCATTGGGCTTGAAACGAGCCCTGAGAGAGGGGCCGTTCCCCGGCCAAGTGCTGTGGCTCTTCTCTGTATGACCCAGCAGGCTGTAAATGTCCCTCAGCCTGCGCCAGGTCCTGGCACTCACTTCTGAGACGGAGAAGAATTTGCTGCAGAGCTTTCCGCGATCTCTGTGGAGCACTTGAGATAACACGCCCAAGACAGAAGTCTCTTCTGAAGACATACGGGTTTCATAAGCACCTTGAGGTCCACAGAGCCACCTGGCAGAGGAAAGGGAAAGTAGAGATAGAGAGGAACACAAATGTCTGCATGCCTGGTGGTCTCTGCCTCGCCTCCAAACAAGTCAGCTCCATCCTTCAGCTGAGACAAGGCTGCTCCATCACCAAAGACTTCCCTCCTGTGTCCACCTCCTCTCCCACGAGTGCTCCTCTGGGAGGTCAGTGACCATCCCTGCCACCTCACTGCTTGCCTGGCATCAATCAGTGTGCTGAGCTGCTCCGAAACCAGCTGTCCTATTTACTCACGCTCTTCATTTCACATGCTCAGGCACATCTTCCTGACAGCGCTTGTTGTCCCTCTTCTGTTATTTTAATCTGGAAAGAAGGAGATCAAGCATTATCCATTTACCAGCTTTTCTACGGAGCATAAGCATTCCTTGGGTTTTCCTCAGGGACCCATTATTCAAGAACACTGTAGCTCTTTCAGTCTATTTCCGCAAATCCTCTTGAAAAGAGTGTCTGAGTTAACAGTGTTGCCAATATCAAGCTTTCAAGAATAATGAGCCAGGCCTCCAAAGTCATGAGATTAGTTTTAAAATAGAGTGTTTTGTGCCTTTTTTTTTTTTTTTAATAAAAACAAGCATTAAAATTTGGCATTCGTTTTATTTACTTTTTGTTTCTAAATCTTTGGCATATGCTCAAGTCACACTTTCAAGCTTTTCCCCCATAACTGTTAAAAAGCAGAAGCTGACGCTCTGAGGAGCTGACTCCCCAGACTCAGGGAGCTGGGACTTGTGAAACTCGAATTCAGGGACCATCAGGATAAAATTGCAAAAGCTGGCACCACTGAGCTTTACTGAGTGTGATAAAAACTGACTGGTAGGAATATCATGATTTTGACTTCAGTTTGCACTTAAACCTCTCTGATCCTTAGGCTCAATCCACCTTTATTCTCTGAAGACCATCTACCCTAACAGGCCTAACAATGTACATTAAGACTATTCTTATTCTAGCCCTTATGCATTTTATAAGCCTTATTTATCCCTCCAGAGCTCATGGGCAAGTATCTGTCTCCCCCTGCTCTGCACAATGGTATTTTGAGTAGGTGTCAGGTTGAGGTTGTTGGACAGCTCAGGTGAGGTGAAGACCCTTGGACCCCTTCTGACTGAAGGTGCCCGTGTACAAAGCAGGTCTCCAAGCTCCAGTTCTCGTTGGTGGAGATGAGAGTTCAAGTCAGTGGCCCACACACAGACAACTGAAGTGCTCACAACCCACCCCATCTCTGTGAGCAGCTCCAGAAGGCTCTTCCATTAGTCCTCTGCTCATCCTCTGCTCATCTGTTCGTCCTCTTCCATCAGTCCTCTGTTGGCTGGTGGCCTCAGGTGTGCCTGGGTGTCCCACCTGGTACCTGCCACCACATGTAGGCAGCAAGGCCTAGGCCAGGAGGCCACCAAGCTGGCAAGCTCAGTAGAGTTGGAAATGCTGCTCAGCCGATGAGATGTAGGTGCTCACCTGGGTCTCACATGCTTATAATGTGAATCAGATGTTGCTGTTACACATGGGCAGTGCTTTAATTTCAATTTCCAAGGTGAGTAGAGCTGTAGCTGCAGACCTGTTCTTGTCTGAGTGCCTCTCAGTGGTGGTTCTCTTGGCAGTGCTGTGCAGAGAGGAAAGCTTAATTTATAAAGTCCCATCACCCTTATCTGTGAAAAACGCCCCTCAGACTTCAGCATTGACTATTCCAGTTTTAAAATGTCTATACTGTATACTAATCTGCCCGGCTAAGTCTATATCAGTATCACTTGGTATCCTTTCTTATGGCTAATTACACTTCTGCCTCACCTTTACAATGACGTTTCTAATGTTGGGAAGAACCACCCAGCCAGCTCTCCACAATATTTTTTGCAACACTTTTTGTGGTTATTCAGAAGAAATTTTTGCAAAGATGCCTTTTGCAAGAAATCTAGAGTTAAAATTACCGTGCTGCTTGGGATCAGGGATGACACACGAGCAGAGAGGAGCAGCTCAGTGTGTTGACACACGCTCTAAAGCTCTTTATCCATGCACCCCATTGCTAAGGGGAAGCAGCTGAAGCAGAGCCCTTACTGCTGTTGCATTGGCAACCAGTCCTGGAGCAGCAGCAGCGGGTTTCTGGCTCACCAAATCCAACCTCTGCCTTCCCCCTGCTATTGGGAGCAGCCACGTCACGTAACCCTTTCAGAGACTGAACTAACTCCATCTTGAAAGCAGGTGTGTTTTTGAACTCCATCCTCCTCCTGGAAGGCTGTTCCAAAACTTCATGCCCCTAAGGAAAAACCTCATTTCCAGCTTTGTGGTTAGTTTGTTCCCATTTGTTCTTATGCCAATGTTTTCCTTTAAATTCAGCAGATCTTCTTCTCCCCATCCCGTGTTCACCTAAAGTGAATCTATCTAGAGCTTTTGCGCTACTACTTGGGCTGAGTAAAGTTAAGTTTTTGATCTCCTCTCGTAAAATGAGTGTCTCCATTCCTTTATCCTTCCTAGGAGCTTTCTTCTACCCTCCAGGTATTTGATTTCATTTTATTGAACATGATTTGCCAGGAGACTTCACTGTTTTCCAGGTGGTATTAATACCCTTTCTACTGGAAGTACCTTAGTGGGAACATCCTAATCTTATTTTTCTTGTTCACAGCCTTGTTATGTTTAAGACCTGTTCCAGCTGTTGATTAATACACCCGTGTTTTTCTCCTGATACATGATTTTCAGCTGATTCAGAGGAATTTGTAGAAGTCTGCAGAGATCCTTCCTTTCTCTGAGGGCAGGACCTCGAATTCTGTATAATCACATTTCTGTCTCTGCTGCTCCTGTTCTTGTGGTGACTTTAATCTTCCCAAAAGATTCTCGTTTCCTCCTATTGACCAAAACTTCCCTCTGACGTTGTGACATGGGAATATTTCATCAGCACTTTCCTTCACTATTTTGGGGAGTTTATTAATGAAATATTCACTAAGAATGGTTCAAAGCCTCCTCTATGAGGATCCCTGCTAACAGCATTCCTCCCTGCAGATGTTGCTCCTCACAGGATTACTCCCTGCCATCTCCTCTTTCATCGGCTCCCTCCCCACTTTACCATTCCTTGCCTAATCCCCATTTTTTCCTAGCTCAAATCTCCCATGGCATCATACCAAATCGTAGACCTACTGCAGATCCCAGTGTAGAAAATATCAGAGAAAGATATCAAGTTCATCTGGCATGACTTTTATACATTTATAATGCTTTTAATCCATTTTCCATCTATGTCCCTATTTTAAATGATTCTTTCCATGCAGTTTATTCGCCTGCCTAATACACCATCAGGGTGAAATAAGCAGGCTGCAGTTGCCTTTATTACTTCGCTCTTCCCCCTTGAGTACAGGTTCTGAATTTGCTTTTACTCCCAGCTTGGCTAATTTACAAGGCTCCTTTGCTCTGCCCCTGCAGTTTCATATGCTGCCTTTTCCTGCCTTTAAATATAAAAAATGCACCATAAATTTTGAGTACCTATTAGGTTTTTGAAGCTTTTTTTTTTCTAGATTAGGTGTGATCATTCCTGTTTTCACTCTCCTGTGTTATTTTCTTTCCTCCTATATTCTGCATTATCCTTTTTGAAAGCTACAGTAAAGTATTCATTTAATTATGTATCCATATTATCTTTAATTTTCCTCACACATAGGCCCATTTCTTTTCTTTTTTTTTTTTTTTTTTTTTTTTTTTTTCGCTTGAAGAACTTGCCTATTTGTTTTAATGACCTCTGCAAGGTCTATATCAACTTTATTCCTTGTAATTCCCCCTTTATCATTTTTATCTGTAACAGGTTTTCTGTGTTCCAAGTGTTATGCAGCCAGGTGTAAATGAATCATCTTGCACCTTTTACGTAAAGAAATTTCGGTCTTCATTGATGTTCAAGTCCTTGAACTACCTTCATTAGTTCCCTTTGAAATTAATTTGCCCTTTTGAAATTGCAAATATCGTTACCTTTATTTTTATTTACTTTCATATGTAGTTCAAGCAAAATCTATTTGTATTTACTCAATCCAACGATATTTTTGTACACTGTGATTTATTTTCTGTGTGTGTGATTATTTATCAAGAACAAAGCTGAAGTAATATTGCTCTTGGTTGATTTAATCATTATGTCAGTTAAAAAAAAAACCCTCTGCTGGTTTTTGCTTCCAGGAATACCTAGTGGTCATTATTACTGGTAGCATTTGCTCTTCCATCGGTATGTAAAAAGTGAAAATCTCACTTAGCAGCACCTATCCTGGCAGTATTTATCTCTCTAATAGTTTCCAAAGATCCCTGTCTGTAGCCGTATTGTTACCAGACAATTGGAAGCTGATTAATGCCACCAGCGGGAAATATTTTTTGCGTTCTGGTGAAAATGTTGATAGATGCTTAGGACATCTGATGGATTCCTCGGCCAGTTGAAATGAATAATGGGCAAAAAGCAGTGTGATTTATGTGGTGGGGTCTCATCAAGATAGGGGCTGGGCAGGAAAAGCAGAAGGTCTGTGCTTCAGGGTGGGTGGCTGCTGAATGAGGAGGCCTGCATGGCTCCTGTCAGATGTACGTGTAGGCTCTGCTCAGTGTAGGCTGGGCTGTCCCCTGGGGATCTGATGATGTAAAACTGCTTCTTTTGCTCCATCATTTAGCGTTGTAGCTGCTCTGGGCAGCTCTGGCTACGTTTCTCTGAGACAGACCTGCAGCACTGGGGCAAGGCCTGGCTCCTCTCTGCCTCCTGTCCCTGCTTTATTCAGTGGTGTGCACGCAGCCAGAGGGGGCACAAGCATAAAAGCAAAACCACAATTTGCTTGTTTTGCTCAGAGAAGATGTTTTTTATACCCGTTAAAGCCAAGCTGTGCCCATAGCAGGGGAACCCCATTGAGCATAACCCATAACATTGCACTGGCAACAAAGGAGCTGCCAGGTAGGTGTGGTGGGCCTGTTGTCCATGGCATACATCTCCTGGAGACCAGTTCTGACATCCTTGCAGCCCTGTCACTGGTGCCACCTTCTCCCCAAGGGCCCAATGTCTCCATGCTCCTCACTTAGGATCTTTAGGAGCTCCTGTGCAGAGTCAAAGACACAAAGCAAAGCCAGGAGCTCACAGGCACTGGGGAATTTCTCCAGCGCAGGGCCACTGAGGTGGTGAAGGGGCTGGAGCTCCTCTCCTGGGAGGAGAGGCTGAGAGAGCTGGGCCTGGAGAAGAGGAGGCTCAGGGGATCCCATCAGTGTATCGGATCTTCCAAAACCACCGGGACATGGTCCTGGACAACCTGCTCTGGGCTGGCCCAAGATGGACCCAGAGGTCCCTTCCAACCTCAGCCATTCTGCAATTCTCTGACTGGAAGTTTTTAAA